TTTTCTTGTCTAAGTTTTCATTTTATTGATGCATGTCTACAGTATGTAACGATATGCTCATTGTGGGGCTTGGAACAGGTGTTGAACACACTTCCGTTCCTCCTTTGTCTTCCGCTCCCTGCTCCCTCCCTCCCTCTCTTGCACCCCTTCTTTCTGCAGAGAGATCTCTCTCGGCACTTTTTTTTTTTTTGGTTTTTGGTTTTTCTCCGGTACTGGGAACCGAACTCACGACCTTGCGCTTGCCAGGCAGGCGCTTTGCCGCTGAGCTAAATCCCCAGCCCCTCTCTCTGCATTTGAATGCCAGAAATTCTAAGTGAAGGGAAAGATCTCCTTTAGAGGGTGCTGGAGTGTTGGAAGGGGCCCGGAGATACTGGAACGGTGACACTGAGGCTCTGCAACGCTGTGCCTTTCACAAAGCCGCACTTGGAGTCAGCAGCAAGGCTGCCTTACAACCCGTCTCCCCAGATTTCAAGATGGAGACACTGCATCCAGAAAAGTTCTGCCGTACATTAATGTGTGACAGAACTCAAATTTAATCCGGGGTCTACGTGACCCCCAAACCACACACATGCTGCTGCTCATCCACACTGCCTTGTCCTCTGACATCAGGCTGGGTCCAGCACAGAGAACCTCTCTCCACCTGTGTTCAGATTCCCATTGCAAAGCCGATCCCTGCCCTCCAACTTTAGCCGCTCTGACTGCAACCTTAACAATGCCAGCTAAGGCTACCACTTTGGGATCATCTGACCACCACTAAAGAGTCTTCTTGGATGCGTTCATGATTTCCTTTCAGAGCTTTATGAACTATTACAGTTTCCCCAATAGTATTTTTCACAACATTGAAGAATTAAAGGTAAAACTAAAGAATTTCTCAGGTTGTCCCATGAGCAGACACACAGTTGAACCCAATCAAACTTCTAGAAAATTCTTTCACTTAAGAAAATGGTTTTTTTTTATATGAATATCTCTCTATATATGTATACATATATATATGAATTAATATATATATATATATATATATATATATATATATATATATATATGAATGGCAATAGGAACAAAGATAGAAATGTTATTGTAATCCAGTGCAATGTATCTCAAAGTATAACTTAATTTAGTACAATTGTCTTACATATTTTATGTTTTTTGCCTATTAGTCTGATTGTCAATCTGTATATATGATAATTAACTTTATGAGGTCTTATAAGATAAATAAATGAATCTCATACTGGAAAAATAAAATAGATATGGAGGAGGGGAAAAGGAGGGAACTGAGATGTGTTCTATATGCGTACCTACTCCCTACAGTGGATGTAATGATTATGTACTGCACACATTCACTGATAAAAGTACAAAAAAAGTGAGAAGACAAAAAAATCCTTTAGTCTGGTGCTCCCAACCTTGGCTGACATTAGACCCACCAGGGAAACATTCACACAGAACCACACTCAGGACCCAGTGAAGACCAATAGAATCGGGATCTGCTCCGGGCACTGGTGGTTTTTGAAAGTTCACTAGGTGAGGCCAGTGCAGAGCCACCGAGACTGCACAATGATTATATGGGTCCACAGTAATCCTCCCCAGGGCTGAATTTCTGATACTCAGGAAAATTCCTCATTCTTAACCAAGGGGCCTTCTGCGGAAAGCAAGTTTCCCTGGTGGTTTTATGCCATAAAGTGAATGTGTTAATTAGTAAAGTTTTACAGGGCAATTTGACACTATATTATCAAAATCTTTAAATCTATATATATCCTTCACCCAGCATTTTAATTTCTAGGCCTTTATCCCAGAGGATCTAAGAGGAGTCTATACAGAAGCCCATAGAGAAGTCCACTGAAGCATTATTTATGACAGCAATAGTTGAAGACAACCTAGATGTCCAATACCTGCAAAGAGTGAGAATGTAACCAGTAATTTATATTCAGGTTCGTGTTAAACAGCACAGGAAAGACAGTAGTCAGCATAATAAAGATAATTTCTGGCTAAAAGCCTATACAACTTCCGTATAGGCACTGTATTAGCTAGCTTTCCATCACTATGATAAAATACCTGTGATTACCAGTGTATAAAGGGGAAGGGTTTATTTTGGCTCTCACGTCAGAGGTGGTAGTCCATGGTTGCTCATTCCTGTTGCTTTGGGCCTGTGGCCATGGTGAGGAGTGCAAAGCTGCTTACCTCGTGGCAGTCAGGACGGGGGGCAAGTTCCCAATATCCCCTGTAAAGGTGTGCTCCCAGATCCTTTTACTAGGCCTCCCCACTTAAAATTCTGCTACCTTCTCCAGTGTCAGCATGGGCTGTTAACCAAGCCTGCAACACATGGCCCTTGGGAGACATTTGGATCAACTGTAGCAGGGAGGGACAATATTGACAGAGTTTACTTTCAAACAGATTATATACCTGTATTACCTTCCATGGTTGTTTACTGACTGATTTGTTTTTCCTTGCAGGGCCGGGACTCAAACCTAGGGCCCTGCGTATACTGGCCAAGCACTTTTTACCATTTGAGCTACATCCATAGATCTGTGGCTAATATTTAAATAATGTTCTTTTAGGTGTTCCAAATTTTCTGTTTAAGTACAGATATTCTTGTTCAATGACCAAGTTCCATTTCTGTGACTAAGTCACTGAATGAATTGTCACTAAATGGGGAATTGTTCAGAACAAAGAAATGGTCAAGGAAACTGCAACTTGATGACTTTGCTTTTATTGCGTAACTCTTACATGCAGTACTGTAATGTATAACAGCACATAAAGCTGTAGTACTGTACTGTACAGCACAATTGCAAAACTTACAGCATGTGCTGTGGAAGAAGCCACCGTAAGCCTGCCCTGCCCCGAACCTTCCTGTGCCGACCGGTCAGAAGGCCGGTCGGAAGTCACAACAGCGTGCCTCGGTCAGAAGTCCAAAAGTTGTTGAACAGGTCATTAAATGATGACTCTGTGTGTTACTTCTGTTTCATTAGAACAAATTAGGATTCCATTAAAAGGTGGTCTGGGGAAAATGCTCGCCCAACAAGCAATCTAGAAGTGTGTGTGACTCTATGCACAAGTTTTCATATATTTAACTGGTATTTGTGGGAACAGCTGTCCAGCTGTCTCGGGAGAAGAACATTCTTCCTGTGTCATGATTATGCTTAGCTATCTTTGCATGGATTAGGACACTGTTTCTTCTTAGTAAACCTGCCCAGACCCCCTGGACTAGTAAGATCAGGTGACTTGGGGATGAGATTTGGCTGGGCACTCAGGGGAGAGGAGCTTCTGTAAGGAAAATCCACAAGGCAGCATGAGGCCGGCCCTGGGACTCAAGGTGAGTTTGCTGAGTGAATGAATTACGAACATAGGTATTAATATACACAGACGATAAAAGCACATGGAAAGTCTTGTTTGCGGCTTTGATAGGAAAGAGCAGGGGGTATTTCCCTTGAAGTAGTTGCACCGTCCCCTGGAGAGCTGGACCGTCACTGGGAGGCAGTGGCAGTGGGGTGACCGTGTGGTGGCATGGGTAGCCGAGCCTGGGCAGGGCTCGGAGGGTGCAGAGATGTGGCTGTGTGTCCAAGCAACAGGACAGCGCCTCATCAGAGCAGTGTCCTGCTCCATCTCATGATGGCCTGCAGAGAATTTTTAAAAGCCTGGATACTGGAGCAAAGCCTAACGCTCACAAGGTATACAGGAAATGCTGCAAGAATCAATGTGACCTGAAGTTCAGATTTGGCTGGGAACGAAAAGGAGACCGGAGGAAGTCGTTTGTATGGGGTGTGTTCACAGACACCGTCCCCGGCAGGGAGGGGCCGTCCGCATCCCATCACAGTCATGGGAGCTCCTTCCATGTCCTGAACAGGGGAGGTTGTTATCAGAGCTGGGCTGGAGGGCGCTACAGGCACTGTGGGACCACTGGTTCAATTGCAGAAGACAGCTGGGTGTGATGGTGCACACCTGTACTTCCAGCACCCTAGGAGGCTGAGGCAGGAGAATTACAAATTCAAGCCCAGTTCAGGCAATTTAGCAACTTAGCAAGACCTTGTTTTCAAAAGAAGAAATGGAGAAAGGAAGAAAAAGAGAAAGAAATAAAGAAAGAGAGAAAAAGAAAGAAAGAAAGAAAGAAAGAAAGAAAGAAAGAAAGAAAGAAAGAAAGAAAGAAAGAAAGAGAAAGGAAGGAAGAAAGAAAGAAAGAAAGAAAAGAAAGAAAGAAAAAGAGAGAAGAAAGAAAGAGAGAAGAAAAAAAGAAAGAGAGAGAGGAAAGAGAGAAAGAAAAGTAACTGGGGTTGTAGCCTCAGCACAAAGGCCCTGGGTTCAATCCCCAGTACTAGGAAGAAAGGAAAAAAAAAGCAGGGAGGAGGAGTGGAGGAGGAGGCTGGCCTTCCAGTGGATTTGGGGGAAGGAATTTCTGTTTTGGGAGGAGCAAGAGCTTGGGTCCACAGTGCCACCTGCAGGGGTGGGGAGGCTTGGCATGAAGGGAAGAGGTCACTAAATCATTCAGGAACAGGTCAGTTACCAGGGGGTCTTTGGCCCATTTGAACTGCGTGTGGCATTTTCACCAAACCAAAGCTACGCAGGGACTGGTCACTGTGGATTTGCTTGGGGAGCTGCTGTGCCCTAACTGGGATGCACTCCACCGAGAGTTCCTTCGACCCATGACAAGGCCCAGAGGCCAGGTCCCATGATTGCTTGCCATGGCAGACGTCCCTCTCCAGTTAGCTGGGGGGGACTTCGCAAAGGCAAGGAGAGGTGCGAGGGAATTGCTGGTTGCTCATCGCTGGTGAAGTCCAATTTAAGCGCAGCCCCACTGCCCGCTGCAGAGGAGACAGACCAGTCCCACAAGCAGTGGGTAAGAGCACGGGCTTCTGTCTCTGTCCGTCTTGGGTTCAAATCCCAACCAGGTGCTGGGTATGGTGTAATCCCAGCATTGGGAGGCTGAGGCAGGAGGATCACTACAAGTTGGAGGCCAGCCTGGGCTACAAAGTGAGTTGAAGGCCAGCCTGAACTGCATAGGGAAATCCTGCCTCAAAAAGACAAAAAAAATAAATCCAGCCAGGGCACACTTAGTCTCCAACGGGACTGGGAGTAGGTGAGCACATCTGTGTCCAACAACTACAAGGTCAGAGCTATATGTTTTGCACAATAGGGAATTTTTATTAATTTGGATTTTTATAACTATTTCATTAACTTATTCTTTACCCTAGTGACTGCTTTGGGGGGGCTCCCTTGTACAGTCAGTGCCCAAGTAGGGTTCTCCTTCAACTCACCTAGTCCCACCTTCCCCCAGCCCAAGAGCTGGGTGCGCCAGCTAAGTGTTGCTTCCACCGTCTGAAAATGGGGTGGTGAATGGACCCATCCTACAGGGTTTGTAAAGTTAAATACAGCAATGTCCCTACGACTCTTACCAGGCTATGGAGTATACAGATGCTCCATAAGCTGTGACTTTGACTTTAGTAAGTCTTCCTGTGGAAAAAAATGTATTGCGCCGCGTACAGTAGACCTCAGTACTGTACACAACTCCTGAAATGATCCCGGGCTTAAAGAGGGAACACAGGGCGGGGCTCCAGGAAGCAAGGAGGAAGCGCGTCCCAAAAGACAGAGAGCGACGACCCAGCCGCCTCTGGACGCCCACCGACGTTAGGGAGCCCACTCTGAACGGAGATCCAGGCTCTAACTTGAGCTCGGCTCCTGGTTATGAAAAACAAAATCCACGAGCACATCTGTGCTTCCCAGAGTAGAAGAGACGTCCTTTGTGGAGGAGCGGCCAGAACTGCGTGCGTTTGGACAGCAGCAGCAGGTGATCACCTCGCGGGCGCCCTGGCTTCGGCTGGGGACCTGCCAGGCCCAGGCGGGAACTCCGGTCCTGAGAAAGAGGCTGGAGCTGGTGGCTGCTGCGCAGCCGCGTCGTCCTCCGCCCTTGCACATGCGCACACCACAGTGAGTGCAAGGTCAGGGCTGCGCAGCGCAGGTTCTTCCAACCAAGTCCGCCCTTCCGTGCGTTCAGGAAATGACAGCTTATGCTTTCCACGGACGTTTTGCTGTTTCCAAAGAGCCATTATTTCATGTCAGGTACAAATATATGGGTCCAGGTGGATTCATGATACTGGATAGGTTCCACATTTACCAGTACAACTGAAACAATCACTTTGGAAACCAGAAACCTTTCAGCCAAGAGGTTCATTCTGGATTTGAGCGTTTTTGTGGAATGTTTCTGTATTTAAGGCTTTATGTGTTAAAAACTTCTATCCTATTTTCTAAGGCAAAATTCAGTGCTAAAAGGAATGACAAAGAGAGAAGTTATTGATGAACTTTTGAGTTGCAAACCTTTTTACTAACTGGATTTTGGAAATAAATTCTTTCTCCTTTCCCTCCCTGCCCCTCCCTCCTCCTCTTCCTCCTCCTCCTCCTCCTCCTTCTCCTCTCCCTCTCCCTATCTCTTTCTTTCTTTCTTTCTTTCCTCCTTCCTTCCTTCCTTCCTTCCTTTCTTTCTCTTTCACAATACTGCGGATAAAGCCCAGTGCCTTTTCACTAGGCTACATCTACAGCCATTTTAAAAATATTTTATTTTGAGACAGGGTCTTGCTAAGTTACCTGTGCAACCCAAACTTGTGATCTTCCTTACTCAGTCTCCCAGAGTAGTGCTAGAAATAGCTTCTGATAGGCAGAATGTGTTTCCCTAAAGACCTTCCTGTCCCAACCCCCAGAACCTGTGAATATGTTACCTTTAAAGAGACTATCTTACCTTTCTAAGGGACTATGCAGATATTATTAAGGATCTTGAGATGGGGAGATTATCTTGTATTAATAGGGTGATCCCAAACAAATCCCATAGGTCTTTCAATAGCAATTTTCCCTGCAGTAGTTAGAGGGACATGTAATCACAGATGAAGAGGATTTGTTGGTTTTGAAGACAGAGGAAGAGGCTATAAGCCAAGGACTGTTGGCAGTTTCTAGCAGGCGGAAAAGACAAGGAACCAAATTCTTCCCTAGAACCTGCAGGAGGGAATGCAGCTCTGGAAACATTTGATTTTAGCCTATTGAGACCTGTGTTGGACTCTAACTTAGGGAACTAAAAGTTAATAACTGTGTTCCTTTAATCCATTAAGTTTATGGTGATTTGTTATGGCAGGCATGGGAACGTAATACACAGCTGAAATTATGTAAGTTTCCATTAGTCATTTTCATGACATACTGTAGATTTATTAGCTATTTAAGAGCAAATCCTAGCATAGCAATTCTTATTTTGATATTTTCATTATCGGGTCCTATGTCCTAATTTTTTCTTTTCTTTTCTTTCTTCTTTCTTTTTTGTGCTTCTAAGGATTGAATCCAAGGCCTTACATCTGATAAGCAGGTGCTCTCCCTTGAGCTACAGCCCTAGCCTCTGTTCTAATCTTCTTCTCCTCATTTCTCTCAAGATTTTATGGTCCATAGTTTGTGATTCCATATTGTAAATATGGAAATGGTACATGGTGTTATTCTCCAAGAATCCCTGCTTTTAAAACCCAAGAGGGAGAACTGGCTCTATGCCCCAGGGCGTGCCCAGCAAGATTAAATGCTCTAAGCATGGGAACCAGGCCCTGTAGAACAAGATATAAATCCTTGAAACCATTTTTATGAAACATAAACACGGAGTTAGCATGAGGGCCACAGTTTCTGGGTGGCTGGTTCAAACTTTGGCAATAAAGATTTAGAGGGAAATTTCTCCAGTTTTAATGGCTTCCAGATGTTCTTCTGGTCCCAGCTGAAATTGTTTTCATCATTTTGAGTTAATATTTGTGTCAGCACCAGCGTTTTGTTGTATTATATCCAAATTGGTGGTAGTGACCTATAGACATAAGCAAATCCCAAATAAGCATTTAACCTAGCAGCTCATGTATATATTCCATCACAGCTTATTTAATTAACAATTTCATATTAGGATAACTGTGAGAATGTTCTACCACATGATTCTGTCTGATGACAAGCAGTCACTAAAATGTAATATCCTATTTTAACAATGGCCAGCATCACACCCGACATCCAGTAGGATGGCAACAAGAATGTCAGATGGTAGTTTAGGTGTGATTTGGTGGGGGGGGGTAGCTGAGACTTCTAGAATGTTAAGTGAACTTTACTGTGTGGACAAACTATTCCTCTACTTATTTAGTCTTTTATGTCTTATAATAAAGTTTAACTTTCCCCTTACAGATCTTGCAGGGTCTTTCAAAAGCTAAATACTAACACTTCATCATTTTTTTTACTGCTGTATACAACATCTTCTTATCTATTATGTCTTCCAGATAATCACTACAGGTATAGAGAAATGTTAGTGACTTAAACATTGAACTTCTGCCCAGCAACTTTGCTAAACTTCCACATGTATTTTACCTTTTTCTTCTGTTGTAACACTTACATATTGTATTTTTTGCTTTTAAAATGTTTTGCCTCAAATATCCTTTTGATAGGTTTAAGATTCTAATGAGTGTTCTTGCCATTTTGATTGTTGTTTATATTTCCTGTATATATTTTAATGCTCTCTTACTTTCCACCTTTGCTGTATCTTTTTGTTTTAAATGTCTGTTATTCTTACACTGAGTCTTATAATTCAATATGAGTATAATCCATTTACTATAATGACTATAAAATAAGAATGTCAGATGGCAATAGGTTTGGGTGAATAACAGCCAGAAGTTTATCACAAAGTACAATGGATTTCGTCATGGAATTTAGAATACATGTTCTATTTGCATCAACAGAGGAATAGTGGAGAAATTATTTTTGAGAGGCACTCTAAAAATTCAGATTATCGATAAGACAATTCCGTTTTCTAAAACTCTGCTGTGACTAACTATACTCAATAAAAAGTGACTATGCAGGAGCTGCCCGAACTGCAACTTATTATACAACATAACCTGAAAAGAAATAAATTGCTTATATTCATGCTCCGATTTTCTCTACCTTAAGAATGGAAAGAACATGGCTACCTTTCTAGAAGTCTCTTCTGGGAATTGCTGTCCCATGCACCACCTTGAATTTGTAAGGAAAGAACTACAAAATACTCATGGTGCTGGAGCTTAGTTATCATGGTACTAGTTATGTCACAGGGGATGGGTAGAGTCTGTTCCATTAGAAAGGTGTTTGAAGACCCTGTTCTTGCTTGCTCATTTATGAGGGACTTGATGTATGACTTGCTAATAGAGAAGGTCAGTACTGTCCTGCGGCTTTCCTCGAGGGTTTTTATCTGTGCCTATCCACTAGTGTGACTAGATAATTTTAGGGTTTAACTCACAGGGGCATTTGGCTACATAGGTAATTAGAGGTGTGGATGACTAGCCTCTCACGTCACTTAGCAACCAAATCATTTATGGCTACTGAAAAATAATAGAATCCCTTTGAGCATTTGTGTTTTTAATAAAATGATAATAAATTATTTGACCCTGCACTGCCTTTAATCACTCCTGCGGCCACCTACTTAGCAGAGGACTTCAGGACTTCTATTGCTTATAGAAAGCAAAGGTCCTTTAACTAGAACTGTTAGAACAGAGAATAAATCTTAACACAGAACGCATCAACAGAATGTCCGATGGCATTTAGGCATGATCTGAAGGATCTGACATTTTTTGAATGTTAAATAAACTTCTCTATGTGGGTAAACTGTTTCTCCATTTCTTTAGGCCTTCATGTCTTGTAATAAATTTCCCTTTCCCCACACATATTTTGCATTTAAATTGCAGATTTTTCATAGGGAAAGATGTCCTGATTTCCCCAGGCTGTTCCCAGCTTCCTCCTCACTGGGGTTCACAAAGCAGGGGTCAGCCCCTCCCAGAGTGATTGGCAGGGGCAGAACTGGAACTGACCAGGTTTCAAACAATATGTGTTTTTGTTCTCACGAAGTCTTTCAACAGTGGATAAGCACATCGGAAACCTGAATCACAGACTCACTTCTTTTTGGCTTTTTGCTCACCGCACAGTTGGCCTCATGTCTGTCGGTTCTGCCTCCAGGGATTCAGCCAATGATGGATGGAAGCTACTCAAAAAAATTGCATCTACAGACCTTTCTCTTGTATTGTTCCCTAAGCAATATAGTATGACAACTACTTGCACAACATTTACGTTATATTTGGTATTATACGTAATGTAGAGATGATTTAAAGTATATGGAAAGATGTACTTAGGCTATATGCAAATACTATACCATATTATGTATAAGGAATTCGAGCATCCACAGGTTTTGGTATCTACAAGGGGTTTTGGAACCCATGTTCCACCAGTACTGTGGGACTACTGTAAAAAATCTTCCCAGACTACCCTTAGCCCGCTTCCATGCCTGGGGCCCATTTACATCTGTGATTCAGTCATCTGTGATGTTACCGAGCGCTTTATCATTACTAAAGCAGGGAGCACTATTCTCCCGTTCTCAGAAGCCCAACCCTCTGAACCAAAAAAGACATCCTTTGGCCAACAAAGCTCCTGCCGTTCCCTCATTACAGTGAGTTTGAAACAGTTTGCCGATCCCAGAGGATGGGTTAGGATGTGGTTTAATGTAATATGAAGGATACTGAGACAGACATCCCAGCCTAGATGGTACCGCATATCATGATGATACAAGAAGGACTTGGGCAAAAGTCCTGATCTAATCCAAAACACCTCCTTGTGTTCCCCACCCCCTTGGATCACAGTGCTCAAGCGAATAGGAATAACAACTGTAATAACAGTGAAGCAGGGAGCTAGCTAAGGACACTACACCCACCATACGCTCTAATCCTCAGGTCAACCCGAGAGTGAGCTGCCATTACTACGTTCATCCCTATTTCACAGATGAGCCTGAAGTGGCTGAGGCATTTGACATTTAGATTACACATTTTTTCTCTCTTCTTTTGCTTTCCAAATGCATTCATTCATTCTTTCAACAAAGATTTATTGAACATCTGCAGAGTCCCAGGCCCCATTTTAATCTGCAGAAATTCTTGAGAAGGCTGCCCCCACCTTCACAAATAGCTCTGTTCTAGGAGAAGAAAGAAGACTGTGAGAGCAGTAGGCACCTGAGAAGACAAGGGAATGTGATCCTCAGGCTTCTCTGGTTTCTTGTGCTTTCTGTCCTGAGGGGCAGCAAGAAGAATCAAGTCTCTGGTTGAGATCTGTCATGTTACCTTTGCACCTGGGTTGGGAGAACGACGTCTGGGGAATGTGAAACATTCTTACTTCAGGCTTTCTGCAAAAAACAAAGGGAAAGGTGGGACCTGAGAACGATGGGGAATTCTCAGATCTGAGAAAATTCAAATCTGAAGTCTCCACGGTCTTAGATTTTGACCCTTAGACCAATGGTCCATCCAAAGCAAGGAATCCTCTCTGTAACTGGTCAGAGCACCTCTGCTTGGATACCTTACAAGGCAGTTCATTCCAGTGCTAAACTGATGTTTCTCCTAATACTGTGATAGGAATTTAACTCCACTTAGCTTTCAGTTGTTGGCTCAGCTCTGTCCTTTGATACATGAATACAAGCTGGTCACAAGTAATAAGTCATGAATAAGAGAGCCTTATCTCTCTTTCATAGGAATGCCCTTGCCCATAAAACCAGAAATCTCATCCCTATGAAGACTGTCATGTCTTACACATCAGCTTTCTTCCTATGTTATGATTCCTAAATTCTTCATTATCTCAGGCAGGGCAAGGTAAAGTGGAAATCAATGAACTAGATGCACTCAGGGGTCGTTGGGAGGAACTACTACCAGTAAACACATATTAAAATAATAGGAGGCTGCGAAGGAGGGACTAGGACATCTCTTTGGCCATTAGGAGAGTCCAAGAGATCCTTGGGGCCTCATGTCATGAGGTGTGTATTTGAGCCCCTCCATAATGCTTTGGACACTCAGGGTAGTCTTTTTTTTTTTTTTTTTTCCCCTCCGGTACCAGGAACTGAACTCACAACCTTGCGCTTGCCAGGCAGGCGCTTTTGCCGCTGAGCTAAATCCCCACCCCTCAGGGTAGTCTTTATAATGAAAGGTTGTCTTGTCTGGAAAAGATCTCAGGAAGCAAATCTAATTGCTCTAAGAGGCTACTTTTCCTGGGCAGTTTATGGAACCATCTGGGGAGAATTTGATTTACAAGGAGAAAGAGGGTGGGTGGAACTAAAGTTTATGGATTCTATGATGTGTTTAACTCTCATGAAAACAATCACCACAAACCCTAGTACCATTAAACTCATAACTTCTTTTTTCTACATGTTTGGTAAAGAACTATAATTGAGAAAAATCTAACAATGGTACCCTAGCAACATTCAGTCCATCCAGTTACCAGGAGGTATCCACTTACACATCTGCTATGAGAATAAGGAATTACATTCCAAGGGAGTGTTTTAATAATAAAACCAAAAGACCTAGGTGTATGGGAAGTAGGCTACCAACCAGTATCAATAATGGAAACTTGTTTTTACTATTACTGTTACAGGTTGGTAAATTATTTCATTATTTTGCCTCTCTGGTACTTTCCAAGGAATTTGTTAAGTACATGAAGCTTGATTACTGATCTTGAAGTTTCATAGCTCTATGAATATAATGATGCAAATTTTACTTTACCATAATTTCTTCTGCCTAACAGGATACATTTTCTTCTTTTTTACTTAACTGTGTTAATGGCTGCATTTTACTGATGCATTTTTTTTTAACCATGCCCAGATGGTAGGGCATAGGATCATCTCCATGTTACAGATAAGGGAGCTTAGGCTGAGAAACAAGCTGAGAAGTATCGCATGGGTTCCAGTTAGAACACAAGTAATATACCAGCCTTGTCTCCAGTACTGTTCACTTCGTAGTATTCTTCAGAACATAAACTAACCCATATGGAGATATAAGATTTAAACTTATATAAGCACATTTGAATTCCAGAAAATGTAAAACATTAATAGTATTAATTGGGCATGTATTTAAGCAATTAAAAAGAAAAAATAACTTTTAAACAAAAATAAGAAAGAAATACAAGTCTATTCATCTTTGAACATCTTACCAAAGGTTAGTTTTAAGGGATAACAGCTCCAGGCAATACGTGAGCTGCTTGGTGTAGTGTAAGAACTCAGTCATGCCCACTTCTCTAGGTATCTAAGCAGCCTCAAGATGTCTGCTAGGAGTCAGGTGATTAAAGTGCTTTTAATAAAGAAAATGTTTCATGGTCAAAGGTAAATAGCAGCAAGATGGAAAACAGTCCTAGTTCCAGGATTTAGTGGCAGCTATGTCAGAGTCACAGATCTGACTAGTCTCAAACTGGCCACTCAAAGAGTAAAATTCAAGAAGAGGTCATCTAATTTTTTGGAGGTTTAAGATAAATCCTAGTTGACTGGATACAGTACTCCATTTCTTTGAGGGTAACTCACATTTATGCAAGATGTATTAGTTTTGGCTCTAAAAGAATAATTTTTACCTGACATTTGCAAAGAACACTTCTTAGATTAATTCATCTGGAGAAGCATAAGTTCCTTGTTTCCATTCTACAAACACTTAAATGAGTGTTGGAAACTCAAGAGTCTGTTGTCCTCCTAGCCCTCCTCCATTTCACTTTGAAGAAGGTGAAGAACCACATGTTCTTGTGCCAAGAACATGCATGTGAGAGGTCCATGCAGTATTTTCATCCCTATCTGATATTTCAATATCAGATCCAGAATCCTGTGTTCTTGAGGTGCCTGGAAGTAGGAAGAGGTGGGAATGTTTGGAAGGCAACAACTCCAAAGGCTCAGCACAGTCTGTTCTTAAGGAAGAGGAGCTCCACGGAGGAGATTCCCTAGAAAGGAATAGGGCGCTTGGTATCCAGGCACAGGGAGCGGAGAGAGTAGTATTAGGCACCCCTGAAAAGGACATTGTTCTTCCCTGTCTCTGTCTCTCTGTCTCTGTCTGTCTGTCTCCATGTCTCTGTGTCTCTGTCTGTCTGTCTGTCTCTCTCTCTCTCTCTCACTCTCAGGCTCAGATTCCAGAACACATAGCTCAGCTCTAACTGGTGGTAGAATAAGGGTAGATTGGCAAAGGCAATGTGCGCCCCAAAGACATAATTGAGGGAAATGAAACATGAGGAGCTGGAGGAGGCTGAGGAACACAACCTCCAAGTCATCCCGTTTCATCCCGAGGTTGGGCGCATTGTGGGGCCTTGGCCTACTATACTTTATGTAGGCTTATTTAGCTTAGCTATTTAAATAGCAGAAAGATATATACCTGGAAGCTGCCTGGATCTTAACATTATCACAGTCTCTCTCCCTCCCTCCCTCCCTC